AATATGGATGAGCTGAAAAACGTGTGAAGTACACACTACAGTATAGTGCTGAGTAGGCTGTGTAGAGATATAGGAGCTGAAGATCACCTCAATTTTACGAGATCCACACTCTTGAGGCAAAAAAATTAAAAGAAGCTCGAAAGTCAGAAGAAGAATTGCGGAACATCTTCTAATGCCCTTGAAGATCATGGATGGATCACGTTGCTCTTCTATATCACGAATGTAGCGGATACTGACAACATTCTACTCCGCCCTCTACAGTTGGACTTGAAGGTCGTTAGTGAATTGCTCGATTCGCAAACTATGACATTGGCCTAAGAGAGACCCATTCGTGAAGTATTGTATTTTCCTCCCGTCAGAGATGCGTCATCCAATACAGAAAAATGCCTCAAGGCAAAGCTCCGGGGCATCACTGTAGAATTCCTCCAAACGTGCAGTTCGCCTTTGTATTGAGCGTTTGCCGAAAGGTACACACGTTACACGACTTCACCTACGCGACCTACCGTAGGTTGCTTTTCAGACTATATGCAGAGGAAAACATCCATCAAGTTTTCCATGAAAGACCATCATTCTAACTGTATGTTGGACACAATCAGCAGTGCTCATGCACTTGATTCAATAAGCGAATTGCAATTTTCTGGGATTGAACATTCAAAACTATTGAAAAAATCACTTAGACATAGTGGAAATGAACTTTTTGACAAATAGATGCGTCACTTCGTGCGCTACCAACGTCAGCTTCAGTCATCGAAGGGTGCAAACCAACGTCAGTGACCGTACTCGGCTCATTGTCACAGTGCAAAGTGGTTGTGCATAAATACTCGCACAGGTCACCGCTGACCAGCTGTCGAGTATGTCATCCTTCAAGATTACTTCTGTAAGTTGGCTTACTGCTTACATTACTCTCCTTATTACTATAACACTTACCTATGAAGCTCTTCGAACTACTCAAGAAACCTTTTCAGCTGATCTTCCTTATTCTAACGTGCGATTTGGTGCTGGGTGAGTTAACTACGCTAGGATTACCAAGCAGGATCAACCGTGCGAAGGGATCGTAATTGGAGTTGGTGAACGTCAAAAGGTCGAAGACGGGGGCAATTCATCCCGCTCCCCGCCCCTCGATAGTCACTTTGGAGGTAAAGTGACTATCGAGTGACTAGCCACGATGGTAAGGGTGGTGGTCGAGAGCGGAGAGGGCCGTGGATCCACCTTAGGCCGATAATGGTGGGCGGGGTCGTATCGAACCCCTCTGGGCCGATGTCAGACTATGCGGATTGAATACGCTAATGGCCGTGGTCGCGTTGCGGTACCATATAGCGAGTCGTTGGCCGCGATACGACCATGGACGCTAGCGAATCGCTCGATTTGCAAGGTTTGACATCGACCTGGGAGGGGGTCGTCAAATTCTTAGGCATTGGGAGAACGCACCGTTGACCCTGTTATCAAGACATTCTTCGAAGACCAACAAATACATTTCAATTCAGGTCAAATCGCACAAAACGCCGGACAACAAAATGCCGGACAACAAAATGCCGGACAACAAAACGCCGGGCAACAAAATGCCGGACAACAAAACGCCGGGCAACAAAATGCCGGACAACAAAACGCCGGGCAACAAAATGCCGGACAACAAAATGCCGGACAACAAAATGCCGGACAACAAAATGCCGGGCAACAAAATGCCGGACAACAAAATGCCGGACAACAAAATGCCGGACAACAAAATGCCGGACAACAAAATGCCGGGCAACAAAATGCCGGACAACAAAATGCCGGACAACAAAACGCCGGGCAACAAAATGCCGGACAACAAAATGCCGGGCAACAAAATGCCGGACAACAAAATGCCGGACAACAAAACGCCGGGCAACAAAAACGCCGGGCAACAAAATGCCGGACAACAAAATGCCGGACAACAAAACGCCGGGCAACAAAATGCCGGACAACAAAATGCCGGACAACAAAACGCCGGGCAACAAAATGCCGGACAACAAAATGCCGGGACAACAAAATGCCGGACAACAAAATGCCGGACAACAAAACGCCGGGCAACAAAATGCCGGGCAACAAAATGCCGGACAACAAAATGCCGGACAACAAAATGCCGGACAACAAAACGCCGGGCAACAAAATGCCGGACAACAAAATGCCGGACAACAAAATGCCGGACAACAAAATGCCGGACAACAAAATGCCGGACAACAAAACGCCGGGCAACAAAATGCCGGACAACAAAATGCCGGACAACAAAACGCCGGGCAACAAAATGCCGGACAACAAAATGCCGGACAACAAAATGCCGGACAACAAAATGCCGGGCAACAAAACGCCGGACAACAAAATGCCGGACAACAAAACGCAGGGCAACAAAACGAGCCTGGCGGCTCATACTAAGGCTCGGTTCTAAGCCGGCACAAAATGCCGCCCAACAAACTACTACAGGCAAACATACTGAGCCGAACCACTACTAACCTGACCACCACCAAAACCTCCTCGTTAGTTGCAAACAATTTTCTTTCCCCTTATTATTGGTTCATCTTTCGTTTTCTCTGTATTGCTAAACACCTTGCAGCAGTTCCCTCCAGCCCTTGAAGCACTTCTGAGACCTTCTATCTGAGACCTCGGAATTTTTGGCAAGTTCGCCGCACTCTACACAGAAGCCTTATCAAAATTCCCTAATTCGCCTTCAAAGGAGGCCTGCCGAGTGCCCTCTTTTTCTCCTTCTCACTACTTCCCCAGCACATCCACTACACTGAGGTGAAATCAGGCATAAACCAGTACATCAGGCATAAACCAGTACACCTTAGTCATGAAAGCAGCAGGCGGGAAGTAGAGTTAGCCTAGTGCTTTGTGTAAACTTTGAGATCCGCACAACTTCTCCCTCCTGAAATGGATCCCAACGCGACCATCTCGAACCCTTCGCGGGTACCAACTCCAAACCCCTTAACACTTCGATTGTTTTAGGACAACAAGTTTCCAAATTTCGTAAATATACCCAATAAAAATCCCCACCTCATTAGGACCTCGAGGACAGAACATCTTTTACCCAAAGCGAGCCCTCGTCAGATATGTTCAAAGGACAGCCGACCCAGACCGAAAGCGTGACTTGTATCAAAATGTCTATGCCTGGAGTGGAGCATCTCGCCAACGACATTCCAACAGAGGTACCCCTGATACCGGCCAACATTCCTCCGTAAACAGTTAGTCACAATAGAAGCATGGCAGGTAGCATTCATGAGTTAGTGGATGGGAAAGAGGTTCAAACCTCATAAAAACCTGCCGAACTTGTCGGAAATTCATGCCAATTCATCACTGAATGTCCGTTAGGCACGGAAGCATCTTTTTCATAAATACCACAACTAGGCGTAATGAATTTGCTTTACAGCGTCAACAGCATGTCCCAGCACGGCGTTCCCCATAGCATTCAGAGAAACTGCTCTTGGGATGCACAATAACTTCAGGTGAAAATAACGATACTCTAGCAGTAGAATCTTCTGAAAGACAT